GATTAAAACATAAAGCTGTAATTCACTGAAAACTTCATAAAGAATACATGTCATTTTATAACTGCATGTTAACAGTTTCATTTATTTTGCTTTATTTTAAGAATTATAGAAACATGGTAAATGGAGTACCATTTCATTATGTTTTAGTCTACCAAGGAATACATCACTCATTTTGTCATTGAAGCCTTGTACAATAACTCTAAACTCAGCAGGCATTTCTTCTAACTGCCTTTAATAAACTCACTCTCCTGCTCTCTGGAAGGCAAAATGTCTGATCCAAACCCAAACTCTGATTCTCCTACAAACCTACTAAGCCAATTGATGACCCTGGTTTTACTTGAATGATATATATTAAAATGAGAAGTTTCACCAGAAGGCAATTCCCTTAATTTCCAATGATCTACCTGAATTGCTTACATCCTCTGCCCCATTCTCCTCTGAATCCCACCTGCCCCTGACTTCTCCTCTTGCCCTTCATCATTAATGTATTTGCCATGAATGGCTGTTTCTCACTACTATTCATACATATTCTTTCACATTAAACATTTAAAAATATACATTTCTCCAACCTACTTCCCCATGACTTACCTAAAACACTGTCTTGACTCACAGAATTGTTTCACCCACTCATTTCTGGATGTCAAACTACAAAGTGATCAACAAATCCAGACTCAAGCATTAAGATCTCGGTATGTGTACACACACTGAATGCTGGAAGACTACAATGTTTTTCACATCTTCAATCACAGAACTCAAAACGAAGCTATTTGAACAGGCTTCAGAATTTTCAACTCATCTCTCTTCCCTTTATGGCATGGGATAATACCCCTTATTACAAATCATCCCCCTTCAGGAATAGAGAAATGTACATATATGTAGTTAAAGAAATGACAGAAACAGAAAATCGATTTTGTGGATAAGTAGAAAGACAGGCTCTGAATCCAGTTCTTGTTCATTATTTCTTGAAACACCTCTTCACTCCCATTTCTTTTTTAAAAATGCTCAGAATAACAGCAATAATATCTTACTGTAAAAAGCTGCTGTATAAATAAATTACAGTAATTATATTCCATAACTATAATATTATTACAGAAAGCATTGTAAATAAACTATACATACAGCCATAATATTATAAAGCAAACATTGTGTTATTAAAATAGATACAGTGTTCTTCTAGATAAAAACTAAAATATAGCTGCATTTTAATACTGTAGCACTTATTAAGAATTATGGAAACTTAGTAGATGAAATACTGTTTTAATATACCATTTAAAATGTTAACAGTATTTCATTTTAAATGATGGAATCATTACTTATGAGCATAATAATCAGAATTATCTCCAGAAATGTCTTTTAGACAAGTTTTAATGATGGGTTTTAAAAAATTTACTGAATATAAAATAACTTTGTTCTCAGCACTTTTAATAATTTACTAGTGATGTAATTTTTCAAGTTTGCTTACTCATAATAAATTCAAGTACATATGCAAGAAATGCATTTATATAAAATCACATGATACGAGAAAATGAAGAATGTGACAAATGTTTGAAATTCTGATTCTAACCTAAAACAAAACATCACAAACCCTCTGCACTTTACAAAAACACAGATCACAGTTTTATGAGCCATGAGACCATAAAAATGTCAGTAATATTAGAAAGTTTTCTTTCTAGTGCATAGATTTTAATACGTAATTTTTTACATGTCTTTATCTCTGAGTTTTTATTTGTGAATGCGTAGCTTCAAAACAATGGGAGTTGTATTCCATCAAATTAGAAGATTCAGTTTATTTTCAATGTGTTTGATGAACCTACATGTGTGGAAATATTTTTATCAATTTGATTAAGGTATTATTTATGTACAGTACATTGAGTGATCTTAACTGGAAGTTCAATTAATTGGAACAGTTGATGTACTGGGGAAGCCACTGCCATAATCAAGTTACAGAACATTTTCTTTGCCTACAAAGCCTCCTCCCGCCTCTTTGCAGGGTCTCTGTGCCTCCACCACCCTGACGCATCCTAGATGACTACTCATCTGTTCTCTGTTGCTACAGACTAATTTTCATTTTTTTAGAATTGTGTATAAAGAAAATCATAGAGTACATCCTCCTTCATATCTGGCTCAGTGGTTATGAGACAGACACATGTTGTTTTCTGATTCAGTATTGTATTTCATTTTATTGATTAATATTATCTATTATATAAATCTATAAAATATTTTTATTCATTCTTTTGATGGATGTTTAAGCTGCTACGAAATTTTTTTCATTATGAATAAAGATGCCATGAAGGTTCTTGTAGAAATCCTTCTCTAGACATAAACTTTGATTTATGCATTTATAGTAATATAAGTGCAGTTCTTGCCTCAAAAAGTATGTGTATAATTAACTGTGTAAGAAATTGCTAAACACACTTTCAAAGTTTTAGCAATCTTTTATATAAGCACCAGCAATCATTGAGAGTTCTATTTGTAACTTTTCACCAATATTTATTGTTGTAAATATTTCTAATTTCAGTCCTAGTGGGTGTTAGATGACCTATAATTATGACTTTAATTTACATTTTCTGGTAATTTACATCGGGTTTTTTTGGACATTTGTGTATCTTTCTTTGTAAGAATGCTAACTCAAAAGTCTAAAATAATTGCTCATTTTACATTGACTTATCTGCTAGTTGGGGTCTTCCAAAAAGCAAATGCTAAAATGAGAATAGACATGCAAGAGATTTATTGGGGGGAAAGCTGTGGGAAAAAAAAGGGAAGGCCACAGAGAGCAGGGCAATCTTTAGACCACAATGCTGGTCTGACACCTGTGAAGAAAAGGAAATGGGAAGGAAGAAGAATTGGATAGGAAGAGTCTCAGACTACTGCAGCATCATATGGAAAAGACTTAGAAGGGTTTATGGGGAGTCTTGAAACCAAAGTAATCCATTGAGGAGTCCCTCACCTCATGGGAATGGGCCTGCATTAGCACGGGTATACATAGCAGTGGGAAGCACTGCCTCAGGGCAAATGTGAGGATGGTACCAGAAGATGGCATGGGCCTGCTGTCAGTTACACCTTCTCAGCAGGAGAATACAGCCTCCATTTCCCACTCCACCCCACAAACCTTCTTTCTGTAGGTAGCAATACTCCTGTGGTTTCAAGTCTGTCTCTCTCTCTCTCTCTCTCTCTGAGGGTAAATGTAGAAGAGGAAAGTTGGTAGAACTAACTGCTGACCTGTTTGAAAATTCATGCTCAGGGCCACATTGCTACCCCTTCTATTTCTCCTCCATTACCCATTTTAAAGTCTTCTCATCCTCACTCTCACCTTGACAGGTCTTACTGTCTTATCTGGTATGACTCAAACCATTATCTCTATAGTATCTGAGCCCTGGAAATCACACTCTTGCCAGGCCTGTGTTGCTATGTGTACTTAGTACCCAGAGGAACCTAGTACATCACCTGGGTTCAGCACATCTACAGCCTCCCTGTGCTCACTGATTGGAAGCAATATTACCTCTTCTTGTCCATTAGAGTCAATTGCCTCTGATTTATGGTGACTCCTCTTCTTACCTGCTGGTTCCTGGTCACAAAAAATCCAAAGAGCCCTGGCAGTTGCCCTAACTTGTGGCCCAGTGGGATTCTTTATTTGACTCTGGTAAAAGTGTGCCCCAATGGGAACCATGACCTTCAGTTCAACTGAAATTAGAGTTGGGCAGATGCATAACACAAACTATCTAAGTCTAAGAGACTGACTGTATACCACTTTTCATTCCTTGGCATTCTTTTTTATTGAGGACAATGAACCATATAAATCTTTAATTTAATGCATGTAATGCAACCAGAAGGACAACACCCATTCTTTCAGAGTGTTGCCTCTAAATTGGCATTTTATCTGTGCTTTTAGAAGGCTGTGACGGGGCTCTACGGGGCCAGCTGCTTCAGGATAATACATTATGTATTAAAACCATTGCATTTCATGATCATGGACTACTTGAGGTCTTAGGCAGTGCAGTCAAGAAGAAAAAGTAGCAATAGGCATAAAAATTAAAAAGAAAGATGTAAAAGTGTCTGTATAGAATGAAGATGCTATCTTCTTAGTAGCAAACATTAAAGAATCTACTATAAAAAACTATTAAGTCAGTTTAGCAGAGCAACAGAGCAATACAAAATAATAGTATTTCTACATACTGATAATGAACAATTGGAAATTAAAATTATAAGTTATAATCACATGAAAAAACATCAAATACTTACAATATACAGCAAAATATGTGCAAGACCTGTATACTTGAAATGATAAAACATTGCTTAGAGAAATGAACTAAAACATAAATAACTGAGATACATAAGCTATTCATGGATTGAAAGACAGTAATAAGAAATTAGGTTTCCCTCAACTCAATCCATGTTCAAATCCTAGGAAGGAGCTTATTTTTACAATTTTTTTATAAATTGACAAACTAAGTCCAAAATTTACATGGAATTTTAAGCAACTAGAATAGCCTCAAGAATTTTGAAAATTAAGGACAAATTTGAAATATTCATACACCCAATTTTAAAATTTACTATAAAGTACAATAAGTCAGCCAGTGCAATATTGACATAAGGCTATATATATATAGAACAATGGAACAGGATGGAAGCAGTGATATGCAAAAATTTAACTTGAAACAAATCATAGGCCTATACAGAAAACCTAAAACTATAAATCTTCTATAAGAAAACACAGGAGAAAAGAATTGTCCTTGGCTTAGGCAAAGATTTATTGGTCAAAAAAAGCATTAGTTTAAAAAATTAAAAACATTAATCATAAAAAAATTATAAATTATACTCTATCAAAATTTAAAACTTCTGCTTTTGAAAGATTCTAACATGAAAAAGCAAAAGTCATACTAGAGAAAATATGTGTACTTATTTTATAAGTTTTTATCCAGAAACAAAGACTTCTTTCTAACTCAACAACATAACAAATAATCTAAGAAAGAACTAGAGAGATAAAGGAGATAACCAAGAAAGATACATAAATGGCCAAAAAAAGCATACAAATCCCTGATCAACTTCATTAGGTGAAATGCATACTGAAACCTCAGTGAGATACCACTCTACATGCTATAGAATGATTAAAATTAAAAAGACTGGCCAAAGCAAGCATTGATAAGGATGAGTTCTGGTGAAATGCAAAATGGCACACTTTGAAAACTATTTTGTTAATTCCATGGATAGTTAAAAATATACTTGTCAAATGATTTACCAATATCACTTTTAGATATTTACCCAAGAAAAATGAAGACGTAAGCTCCCTAATGCATGTGAACATTCACAGAACTGGAAAGTGGCATGGGCATACCACAACTAGTTTATGCATTCACATATGAATAAGCAAAGAATGACGCATCCATACAATGTAACACTGCTTAGCAATGAAAAGGAAGGAAACATTGATATGTACAATATCAATGTCTTTTTGTGAAAGAAGCTTGACACAAGAGACACTGCATTGTATAATTCCACTAATACAAAATTCTAGAAAAAGTAAAACTATAGTGAAGACAGGTCATCAATTATTGCAATATATGGGAGTAGGAGATTGACTAAAAGGGCATGGAGAGATTGAGGGGCAATGGTAATTTCCAACATCTTTGATTCTGATAATATTTATCTGATGACATATATGTCACAAATCATCTAAACATATACATAAAATCAGTGAATATTTCTATGTATGTCAAACCACATGAATGGTGATTTAAAACAAAACATTATCAAGGTTGTTATAATGAACATGTATGAGGTTCTAGATTAGCTAGAACTAATGAATATACACAAAATACCTTCCAGAATTCTTGCCTAAGGACAGGTGACCAGAGCACTTGTCCAGCAGCTTTCAGCCTCTGTGTGGTTTATTACTTAACCTTGTCCATCATAGCTATGTAGGTTCTTGGGACAAAGCCTGGGAGCAGAAAGAACAAAATACATTGTTGAAAATAAGAGCTCAAAGTCACACAAAAATGAGCACTCAAATAAAGGATTTCTTTAAATAAAGAATTTCTCAGCAAGGCAGATTTACTTCTGCAGAAGAGTACTGCTCCTTCCTCTGGTCACTGTGAGAGCACACTGAACAAAGGAGGGAAGGGGTTTTTAATCCCTAACAGCAGTCAGTCCCTGCTACTATGTCCATTCCTCATTGGCTGGGGTCAGACAGCACAAGCAGTCAGTCCCTGCTACTGTGTCCTTGCCTCATTGGCTGGGATCAGACAGCACAATCTAAGCTGATCCTGATTGGCTACTTAAAATGGAACAGGGGTGAGGGATACAGCAGCAGGAAGAGAAGTTTCAGAACTAAAGGTGCTGAATAAGGAACAGATGTGGGTTACAGATTTGGATGGCTGGAAGGTTGTATACTGTAACTAAGGACAAGGAGGCAAGGAAGTTAGGCTTTGAAAATAGAGGACAAGCAGAACCTTTGATTAGGAACTGTTTCCAACAACATCTGAGATCCAGGTAGGCTGGATTCTTGTCTTTGTTTGTCCTGGTTAAAAAAATATATTATATTCTTTCTTCCAGTTCAAAAAGTTGGCCCTTATCTAGATGAAGTTAAATTCTTGGTTTATACCCAAAATAAAAAAGGGTTAAGAATCAGGAATTTTGCCACAATGAGATACCATCTCATGCCAGTCAGAATGGCGATTATTACAAAGTCAGGGAACAATAGATGCTGGCGAGGCTATGGAGAATAGGAACACTTTTACCCTGTTGGTGGAAATGTAAATTAGTTCAATCATTGTGTAAGACAGTATGGCAATTCCTCAATAATCTACAACCAAAAATACCATTTGACCCAATAATCCCTTTACTGACTATATACCCAAAAAATATATACCATTCTACTATAAAGACACATGCACACATAAGTTTATTGCAGCACTATTTATGATAGCAAAGACATGGAACCAACCCAAATGCCCATCAATGAGAGACTGGATAAAGAAAATGTGGTACATATACACCATGGAATACTATGCATCTAAATTAGATCATGCCCTTTGCAGGGATGTAGATGAAACTGGAAGCCTTCATCCTCAGCAAAATAACACAGGAACAGAAAACCAAACAACTCATGTTCTCATTCATAAGTGGGAGTTGAACAATGAGAACACATGGACACAGAGAGAACGACACACACCAGGGGCTATTGCGGGTGTGGGGCAAGGGGAGGGAACTTAGAGGATAAATCAATAGGTGCAGCAAACCACCATGGCACACATATACTTATGTAACAAACCTGCATGTTCTGTACATTTATCCCTTTTTTTAAGAATAAAGAAATAAAATAATCAGAAGTTTTCATTGTAATATCAAATTTTCCACTAGTTAGCTATGTGTATTGCAAGAAGTCAGTTTTTTTTTCTGTGTCAAATTTTCCTCATTTGTAAATAGAAGGGTTGAGTAGTTGCTTTCAACATTTTTTTAAAAACTAGTAATATTTGTGTGTTGCTCATTCAACTGAATTTACTCAACAATAATTTATTTGACTACCACTATTGTGTGTGTATATGTATGTGATGTGTGTATACATGTATATCATTGTGTGTGTATATGTATGTGACGTGTGTATACACATGTATACATGTGATGTATACATATGTATATACATGTGATGTATACATGTACATGTATACACAAATCACATACATATACACACATACATATTACACTCATACATACATATATTCACGTATACATACACACATCTGCAAATATATGTTAATGAGAACTCCTCATACATGATAATTTTCATATTTCAGTGAGATAACTACAGACAAAAGCAAATAAACTAATAATTTAGTCTATATAATTTTATCACAGCAAAATATTCATTTTAAATGAGCAATTTTGAAATATTAAAAATCAGTTACTGAGCTCTATCCATTAGTAATTATTACCTATCAGTAAGATCTGTCCACTTACAGAAACAAATATATATGTAATCCCTAAAGACCATTCCTCAAATTTCTGATTATCTGATTTTGTGTCTCTTGGTTGCTCTTCAAAGACAGATAAAAACAAAATATACTATGGATCTTATAAAATACAGCATTTGTAATACAACAGTATTAGTAAATATACGTAAAGGAGAAACCCATGAACCAATTCAGTTGCATTTAATACAAAATTTCAACTATATGTCCAGTTTAGACACCCTCTGAAGAGTAAATCAAAACTGTTTTGACTTTGACCATTTGCTATTACCTACAGACTTTTAAGCATAGCATTATTTTCCCTCCACTGATAACAAATTTCACAAGATAAATGGGATGTTGCTGGTATTTTGCATCGTCTTCCATGCATTTGGTAAGTATAGATTTCCCATATTCCACAACACCTTTGTGTTTTCAATGTCCTTATTTTCATAAATAAAACAATGCCGCCACTTATCATGATAAATACAGACAACTAAAAACTTGACAGCAAATCAAACAGCATTATTTAGTGAGCTACAAAACCATTAACTGGGGTTTTGGAGTGTGTGAATGATTTTTCAAGGAAACTAAAACCTGAGGACACAATGTAGTGGGTAACTTACATTATTGACCCTCAGTGATCCCCACTTCCTGGTATTCCCTCCTTTGTGACATCTCTTCCCCTTGAGTGTGGGCTAGACCTAGTGACTTGCATCTAATGAGTAGGGTACAACATAAATGATGGTATGCCACTTCTGAGGTTAGACTTTTGCTTCTCTCTTAGATGATCTCTCTTCTTCTCTTAATTGCTTGCTTGAAGGGAAGCCAGTTACCATATTTTCAGCTGTCCTATGGAGAGGCTGCATGGGAGGAAACCAACTCAGAGAGATCTCCAGTTAACAACGAGCAAAATCCTGATGTTTGACAGTAAGCAAGTGAGTGAGCCTGGAAATAGATCTTCTGAGGCCTGACAATGACCCAAGGATCCTTCAAAGCAGATCCTTCTTCACCCAGGTGGCCTTGAAAGGACTGTGGCCCTGGCCACCACCTTGATTTCAGCCTTGTGAGAGACACTGAACTGCAAACATACAACTAAGCCACACACAGATCCCTGACCCAAAGAAATCATGAAACATCAACTGTTTACTATTTTAAATTGCTAAGTTCAGGGACGATTTGTTACACAGCAGTAGGCAAAGAATACACCACCTTGGTTTTCACAGTAAAAAAAAATCACTCACACAAGAGACAAAGCTCCTGATGATATCATCAGATACCAAAATCTATTTCTGTATTAAAGAGACTGAAACTTCACCAATTTTATTCAGCTGTTTGGGGTCAAATAAAGAGAAAACAGGATTCAGGGCAGATTACTATTTCTGTACTACTTAGCTCATTTGCTTTATCTGAGAGTTTGTCTAATCTCAACCATCTTAGAGCAATCTTAATTATTATAGTATTCTGTCAATAATGCTTTGGTTCATTTATTGTAAATCTGAAGAAAGAAGCTATTTTTTGGAGATTTGTGTAGTTTCTCATCATTAGAGAAATTAAATAGTCACCTGGAAAATAACTTGAGAATTTCTCCCTTCTAGATTTCTTTTCCTAATAGATAAGGATAAGCAATAATATTCACTGTAATATTTCAGTGATAGGATATTCTAGTTTATTTAGAATGATTTAGACAAGTACTGGACATACACTGGGAGCTTATGACCTTTCACAAGTACTCTCCGCTCACCTAACTAGGATGTATCTCTTGCAAACTGTTTGTGTTGAAGATTTAGTAAAGCTTAAGTGACCTGCCCACCTCTAACCACCACACTTTTTAAATTTTTAGCAGCTAGGCTTTCTAACAATCAATGTTCACACTCATTCCCATTTGAGGTTCTATCATCATACCTGACACTAGGAAAGCTAGTGACAGTAAACACACACACACACACACACACACACACACGTAAACAAACATACAGTCTTGTGCATTGGCTACGATCTCTACATTGAATCATTCTCTTGTCTTGTCCCCTCTGACCTTGGGTACTAATTTCAAATTCTGCATTTCCTACGTTCTGTCCACATTACTTCTCCAAACTCTTCTGAATTATCAAGCTGTAGCATCAACATCACATGTTTTATTTGGCCTTTTTAAAATCTCCCACCCTCACACATAAAAAGAATTACCAAATTCTCAGTACCCAGACATATTTTTAAACTTTATTGTAGCATTTATAACATCTTATTTTATAGATATTTACACATTTGTGCACGCGCACGTGTGTGTGTGTGTATGCGCACGTGAGCATGTGTCCTGCGTTAACCTATAAACCCCTTGAGGACAGGAACAATTTCTGAATCATTTTGCTTGTATTTGTATAGGTTGACTGGAGAGGTCCTTCTGATCACTCTTTTCTGTTTTTCCCTTTACTATGATTGCATATCCTTCCATTTCCTTTTGTTCTTTCTGGTGTTTTTTTCTAAACAACTTTATGATTTTGTATAAGAATAGTATAAAATGGCCTTCCTTTAGAAAAATACATCAACTTGTATTTTCAGTGCACACAATTTGGGACTCATCTCTTCTACACATTTTTTTGTGCCATCTGTGATTCTTCGGCAATCTAAGTGCCTGGGTATGTAGGTTAATCACAGATAACTCTTTGTCTTTTCCTATCAACTGCTACAAACTGCCTAATTACTGGGGCTGATCCTGTTATTATTGTCACAAGGCTGTCCTTAGCAATATTGTCTTTGTCTGCTTAGTAACTCCCTATTACCAGCTGATTGTTCTTTCTGCCATGCAGTGATTACGATTTCTGGTTCTGGGGACATAGGCACCAAACCTGCACAATTTCTAAAACTTACCTTGTAGTACTGTGTAGACGGTGTTTGCCTCCTCAAACTCTCCTGGAGTCATCTTTCAGAGCATCAGTATGTTCTGCAAAAATAAGGGATTGAGTAAATATATACATTTTTATTAAGAATAATCAATGTGACACAAAAACATGTCTTAGCTATTTTTTAAATTGGCACATTATAAATGCCAAGTGCCTTCCAATTCAGCAATTGCATTATGAAAATTAAATCATGAATCTTATATTTTACATCAATTTCATTCTCAGTAGGGAATATTGCAATTGACATTAAGGCAAAATGGGAAAGAGTACACGGGGCATGGGAAGCACAAAGGAACAATGTATTAACAGGCACATTACATTTTGCTGTTCTCTAATGTAAAATTGAAACATCATTTACAAAAAGAAATATGAAGTGAGGGATTTTATATTCTAAAGTAAAGTAGTTGAGAACAAACATGAAATCATATACACACACGTACATGTATATACACATATGTACATATGTATAGATATATAGATGATAAATAGACAGATAGATAAAAAATAATAAATATATATCAAAGTAGGAGAGAGACACATCTGTCCCTGGCCTCCAAAGAGAAATGAAAATGAATGGATTAAGTTTCATAAATCTGAAGTCAAGGAAATGTGGCTGACGATTTGTCCTTGAACAATCTTCTGACAACTGAAACTTCTCCATCTAACATGTTCACCCCTCTAGAACAGGCAGCAACTGCATGAAATGGCATGGATGGAGGAGAGAGATGGCAGATGGGGTGTACTGAGAGAAAACTCAGATACCAAGCTCCAATTCCTGACAGCCAGAGGCATCTAATGCAGGCTCAGTTTGCCTTGTTTGAGATGTTCTAGCCCATTACGTTTCTATTATAAGATGACGTAAGCTTAGTTTCTGAATAAGAGCAAGGTCTGGCCGGGGATTCTCAACAGTAATGTTATATAAAACTCTCTGGTAATGGCCAGGCAATGATGAGAACAACTCATTCTTGCATCCTTTTGCTAAAACCAAAGAAACCCCACAATTCCCTTTAATATTTGAATGGCTCAAGCCATGTCAGTAGAACAATGGGTATTTTACCCCATAAACCACTCTTGTAGTAATATTAATAGGGAACATTATGAGGGCTCCTTTTTAGTATTTTAGCCACATCTGTATTATAACACAACATTTTATTGAAATTATTTGTTTATCTCGGATAAGAGATTGCAAATCCTCAGGTATAGACCACCTATAATTTATTTTCCTACTGTTGAAACCTACTCTCTTCAATACATACAGTAGGGACTCAGTATTTCTGTTAAATAGGTGAATGCACGCTAGCTATGGAATACAGGCATATGTTTCCCTATAGACAAACATATACTCATATCTTTGCAGACTTTGCCCATATTGATGTTTCTACAATTAATAAGATTTTTATATTTGTAGTTTGTGTTTTTCTCTCAAAAAGTTGTTTTTAAATGGGTAGCAGTTTAGATCCCAAATAATTAATGTCGATATAATTAAATGGGGAAAGAGATCATATGACTAATGAATATTTCTATTTTGAGATTTTGTAAATATGAAAGTATTTACACAAATTTTTGTTTATTTGTTTAATGGAAAATGACAGCATATTCTATGCCATCAAATCCCATAAAATGCAGAATTAGAAAGACTCATAATTCATCTACTGCTAAAATTAGATATAGTATGAATCTTATTAATTTGAAGAAATTATTTTAGGCCAAAAAAGTACCAAAAGATGATTAAATAAATTGTAGGCACCAAGAGTCTCAAATATACAGATATACATAAATATTTTTAAAGTTTCAAGAACAATATTGTAAATGATCTAAGAATTTTCCATTGAGTCCTTTATTCAATGTTTAAGATATATTGTGTATAAATTATTAAATATGTACTTTTATAATTTGTTATATACTTTACCTTATGGCATTTCCTTATTAGTGTGAACAAATAAATAGTATTTTCTATTTCCTTTCCTACTAAATTTCTGTGTTCGATAAATACTTTCTTATACCAACAATTTTTTCCTAGAGTATTTATTATTAATGTGTTTCATTATAATACAATAAACAGATATAAAACTTTTAATTTTCATATACACACAATTCTAACAATATTTATAAAAATATGTATATATATGTGCACCAGAATTATACATTATGCAACTCATGTATAAATTATTTCTAAACGATAAACACAGAGAGCATATTAGAAGAAAAACTTAAAATTTATGAAACTCTCTAAAGGACAAAGTAAAAGGTAAATTAAATGCATAGTTAATGTATTCTGAAAGTAATAAAAAGTGTAGCAAGACAGAATATTAAAAAAAATTTTCCATTTAGTTTTTACTGTGTCAACGAAAAACAAATTTTTCACACTTAATTAGTTTTCAGGCATTCTAATTCACTGGATGTTTTTAAATTATGGAAAATAAATAGTATTAATTACGGAGTAATAACATGTTTTTACAGTCTTTTTGTTCACAGTATGTTTCAAAATTCCAGTTCCTTTTTTCTTGTAGAATTAAACTATATTCCTACCTAGAGAGATTCTGTTGTCTACATATGACAATGCCATAAACTCACAAATTCTAACTATTAATAGTTTTTTATCTTGTTCCACAAATAACAACAAAAGTAATCTGAAAAAAAAAAATGAAGAGGAATGTTTTCCTCTCCTAACCTGGATAGCTCATTCTTTCTTATCCCCCTCTGGAAATTCTATTCTTCTCTATTTCCCCCAAAATTCAGCTCATATTTAACTCATCTTTTCTGACTACCTCCCTGTTTCTTCTTCCACCATTTTTCTTGATTTTAGGGAGTCCTTCTTCTACATGAATATATCATGTAGTTGGACTTTCATTTAGCATTTTCCTTTCTTCTTTGTAATATGATTTCTATCTCTTCCTTCTTAGATTGCGAAGTCCAAAATGTCAGCTGGAACTCTTTTCCATATCCTTCCACATTTACTACACTGTGTTCCATAGAGTTCATGCAATACATATCTGCTGTGTTCTTACTGCTGTTATACTTTTTCCATCAGTATTGATGCGGAAAACACAAATTGCACAAATGATTTTAAGTAACATGAAAGATAATTAAAGCAAATCTCTTACTTGAGAAGTTTACCTTTTTCTTGGTTGAAAAAGATACAAGAAAGAGTAGACAATAATATTGCAAAGTTCATTTAAAATAAAAACAGTATTAAGATGTTAATTACAGGTTAATTGAATTTACCAGCATACTAAACTCAATACATTCTATGATTAAATCTATAAAATACACATATGCATTTTAAATGTTTGTAATATAAAATTGAATACACATGAGGCACTGTATTAGCTGTTGACTTTTCTTAACTGCTAAAATGCCTGTATATTTTACAGTGTATTTACAGTTCATTAAAACAGTGTGCAGGGGGTTCAAAGCATCCAGAGAAGCCAGTCTCCATAGAGCATTATTTCTGGAGTTAACAATTTAGAAATCCAAGATTCACTCACAAAAATTATAAAAACAACATTATTTTTCCCTGACATTTCTGGGACCTCACAGGTTACAATGTTAGGACTTTTTTTTTTTTTTTTTTTTTTTTTCTGATTTCAAAACTCTCTTGAATCCAGCCAAATCCTTGCAAAACCCAGCCAGCATATGACGAACGGAAAACAACTGTGACATATCTGCTATTAATGAGATCTGAACTTTGACTTTTCCTGCTAGGGTAGATCCTCTAAATACAAATTACCTTGCTTCTGATATAAAATATGTGATATGTGACCAAGGCTTTGTATGAAAATCCTGTAATTACATAACTGTGTTTCAAATATAAAAATCTCAAAATCAAAGTCTGATCTCTGGCAGTAAAACAATTAAGCCCCTGTATCAACTAGTCTACCATGATAACAACAAAATACAAATATCAAAAATCATATATGATTTGTGGGCATAGTTATATGTTAGAAATAATAGAAAGAAAAAGAAGAGACTATAAAAAGTACATTTGGGCTGCTGAACACAACTAAAATACAAATTTTATAAAAGTTCCAAGTAGAACAAATGAGATTAACACCATAGGCAAATATCAAAATCAACTAAAGTTGGAAGATCTAAGTCTTCATCAATAGTATAGATTTCTTTATTTAGAAAATAAGTACAGCATAGCGGATCAAAACACACTTAGGAAAAATAATTTTAAAAACCTCTGGCTGTTCATATAGTAAAAAAATTAAAGCTGCCATGTTTCAGCATATGGTTATCACCAACTGGCATGGTGTTATATTTTTCCAAAGTTGTTATCACTAAACACTGATGTACCAAGAGGTCTTCACAGCAGTGGTAGAAGAAAACGTCAAATGACAGTGAAATTGATTTAGGGCTCTGTCTGGGTCAAGTAACCTCCATGATTGGTTAATTTACAGGTAAAAGGGGAACCATAAAACATAAATTTCATGTGACTACAATGTCAATAAAGTTGTCACATAGCTGAGTAGGTGATATTCTTTTTAAAAATAGTACAGAGACTGTTTTAAAACATCTGTCCACATCCAAGAAAATGTTTCAGTGACTTTCCTCACCTATTAAATGGGAATTGGAAAGCTTATCATATAGATGTGCTGAGAGGAATAATGATCCATCAGAATCCATAAGATTACTTCATGTTTGTTGTTGTTGTTCAAAATAGGTAATTGGAAAATAATATGGACTCCTCTGAAACCATGTTAATCCTGGTAACAAGTTCACAAGGTGTGCTTTATGCAAAGTCAAACTGAGACCTTTCCATTCAAGACAGAATATTCTATTCACCACAGAATACTTGGCTATGCAGGAGGTTTTAAACCCAAGTTCTAGCCCTGAGGATGGCCTCTGTTTTCTTGTAAAGCTTTGCATGCCCACCTGATGGCAAACACAGTGACCTCATTTTCCCATCCGGGATCTCACTGTTAATCTCTCTCTTTCTCTGCCATGGCAGCTTTCTGATCAATTAAAGGATTAAGCATTCAGGAATTATTTCAATCCACAAGAATTTATTGATTGTCACTTGCCACCAACAGTAGCA